TCGCGCGGGCCAGCTCGCTCGTCCTCACGTCCAGTTCGGCTCTCTCCCGCCAGGCAGAAACTCCGCTGAGCACAGCTTGCCGCCAGAATGCTCCTCCTCCTGCTCGGTATCATCGTCCTCCACGTGGCGGTGCTGGTGCTGCTGTTCGTCTCCACGATCGTCAGCGTGAGTGTCCGGCGGGCGGCAGGCGGGCGGCGGGCGGGCCTGCGCACGGCGACTCCAGCCGTACCCCTCCTCTCCAGGACTCTGCCGTTATTTGCAGACAACGCATCTCAGCCACCGAAGGGCGTTTTGCAGTTTCTGGCAACCCCCCCCCCTTCCCGGTTGTTTTGAGAAATCCAGAGCAGACTCAGGGGTAGGAAGGAAGTCCGCGATGGGCTAGGTTAGCTGCGCAGGCCGCTCTTGCCGCCAGAGATTGCAGTGCAGGCCCCGGGGCTCCCACCTTCATGTGATAAACTTGGTTAGCATTGTTCTCGCTGCAGGTTCGTTGAGGAAGGAAGTGGAGTATTGATGAAGGTTTCTTTTCTCCAAATATCGTAGAGCAGAGGGGCGGCTGAGTTCATCAAACAGCCTTTAGGGCCTGGCATCGGGAAGGTAGCAGTGGCTTTTCCTTAAGGGGTCTCGCTCCGACATCCGCTTGATGACGTGAACATGACACCTTCTTAGGTGTCACCTCCTCCTCTGACACCGGCAGGTCATGGGGATAACCTGTCTTACAGAACCATCAGACACCAAGCTCATGGGGTTCCAAGCTTATTTTCTTGAAGAGGAGCACAGACCAGGCAGTCACGTGACTGTGACCTTGACTTCTCACTAGAAGGCAAGTTCCAGGCGTGATATTCTGGCCTGTTTCGAAGGCTGAGAATAATTCATTTGGGGATTTGTGAGTTGGTTCATCACTGACCAGCATCTTTCCAGCATCTTAATCTTAATAGGCCAATCTCTCATCAGGTTGGGAGACGAATTATAAGTAAGGAGATGAGCTCAGAGAGGTGTTGGCTTTGGGAAGGACACCCAGAAATTGAGGAGGAGACACCGCTTGGATGCGGATGTCCTGGGATTAAGTCTGTGGCTCTTTCTCCTGTGATACACACCTCCGCACGTAGCATCTTAGCGTATGTGGCACTTTTCCATTGACAAAGTGCTTTTCACTGGCAAAACCCTAGCTCTCCCTTCGACACAAAGTCTGGGACAGATCGCCTCCTCTGCCTTTTATCCGGCATGGCTGTGGCCCCGGCTGGGCAGCCCTGGGCAGGGCAGTGGCAGGCCCTGTGGACGCGTTGGTGAGGATGCTCTTTGCCTTCTTTTGGTCTGCTCCCTCCCCTTTTCCTTCACTCCTCACCACCTCCCCTGATTTTCCTCTTCTGGTTCTTTCTAGCAATGGATGGTGGGCAACGGACACTCGACCGACCTCTGGCAAAACTGTACCACTTCCTCCTTAGGCAACGTCCAGCACTGTTTCATGTCATCGGCCAACGGTGAGACTGGGTTTTTCTTTTTTTTCAAGCCTTTTTCTCAAGCTCATCCTTTTCTGTCTGTGACATGTTTCTCTGTCCAGACCTGGAAGCACTTGTCCTCGGAAGATACCAGCTGGGAAGTTGTGGCTAGGCTAGGGTGGACTGTCAGGGGGGCTGGGAGTCTAAGACAGAAGGAAGGGGGCAGTGGCTCCACTGGCTCCACGGGATCCTGGGGATCGGTGTACGCTCTCTTTACCTAGAGAGAACCCCTAGACACCCCTCTGCCCCATCACTTAGTGTAAGGCTTCATGTGAGCAGAGAAATGTGGACACAGATAAGCAATGATGGTGCAAAACCTTCGGCTAGCATCTTTGGTTTGGTGGTAGCGATATCCAGGAGTGTCTTCCTGGTGCAGCGATGGAGAGGCTGTCCAAGAACAGATGGGCGAGCGTTTGTTCCCCAGTTACAAGACTGCCTTTCTAGGTCTTGGGCCTCGGTGGTGTTACTAGCATCAAAACCTTCGCGTGCTTCCTCATTGCAAGACGGAGCCCTGGAGCTATTTGCAAAACCCTAAGCTGAGCCCCGGAGGATCCTTCGTCCAGTAGATTACATTTCTTCTCTGTCCTGGGCATCTTTGTGTGTGACTTCCTGGAACCCAGGCTTTCTTGGGTTCAAGTTAAGGGGTGAATTGGCAATGAAAGCACACAGTTAGCTACTTCAAGTGCCCAGAGGGAAGGAGGGCTCAGCCTGGTGTCTTTGGAAATCAGAGAGGCAGAGATGAATAGGATGCATTCTTTTTGGTGGCTGGTTGGTTTCTGACAGCCACGTGGACCCTGGAAAGGGCCACAGTGGTGTCGAGGACACAGTGGGCCAAACTCTGCATGACCTCATCTTCCGAAGTACCTGCCCTCAGCCTGGAGAGGGAAGTAGCTATAGATCTGACAGAGCTTTCCTGACATCCTGGGTTGAAAGTCCAATAAACGGCAGGTTTCCATGTGGCTGCAGCTACTCCTAGATCAAGTATTTCTGTTGAAGATGCCACCTCCGATGAGAGAAGGCAGTTCAGATATAGCTCAGCAAAGCAGGCAGTGCAGTGGCCGTTAGTTCCGGCTTTGCGCGGTGCTCCCACGGACTCCACCCCCGACGGTACCCAGGCTGTCAGGGCAGCATCACCAACCGAACGTCTCCAACCTCAGTCCGAAGAGGAACTGCTAGAACTGGTGCTGCTGATATGGGGAGGGCAGCCAAGGAGCAGAAGACCCTGTTTGATGTTTTCTTTTTCCTGGGGGGAAGAGGAGAAGACCCCAGGCATTACTGAAGGGAGCAGGCCTTTGAGTGAGTGAGGGGTGGTCTTGAATTAAAATCATCCTGGATGTTGCATGGTGAGCTGACAGCCAGGTAAATGAAGCACGCAGGAGGGCCTGCGCATGTGGCGATAGCACTGCTGGGGCCCCAGGCCATAGCACCGGTGTCTCCCGGGGCGGGTTGGGGGGGGGGCGGTGGTTTGGCTGCAGGTCCCTGAAGACTCATGATGGGCGGCTCCCTGCTCGCGACTGACACCTGGTGGCCAGGCGTGGTGACTGAGCCCGAAAGGGCCGGCTTTCCCTGAGACCCCGTGGTATCCACCGGCACCTTTCCCGAGTGGCATTTGTCCACGTGGGGTTGGCAGAGGATTCTCGACTCCTCGGCCCGGAAGGGGCAGTTCTGGCAGGCGTGTTCCAGCCCGGCTGGGTTCCAACAGAAGGGAGCGGGCAGAGGAACAGTTACCTAAATTGTGCTCGGACGTCTGCAGGCAGGACGGCAACATTTGTCCGTTACTGACCTGCGTTTTCTGCGTCTCGCGCGGTCGGGAGTGTCTGTTACTCCTCTCAGAGCGGCAGCAGGGTTATTTCAGGCCAGAGACGTCCTGCCCCTCGGCTATGTGCAGGTTCACCTCCCTGGGTTCCTTGGAGATGGCTTTGGGGTGGTCACCACGGGTCTTCATCCAAGTCCCTGTGGGTGCTTTCCTGGGAATCCCAGGGCGGTCTTCTCCTGCACACCTGTCTCGGCTCTCCCAGGAAGGGCATTCTGAGGAAATCTGGGCAAGCTGGGCCTGTCTGCCCTCGGACTTACTCTAAGTTAGAGGTTTCCATTTATGTTTCCTCGGTGGTCGGTGTCTCTGCTCTCATCTTCCTGCTGGGTTAGCATGTGTTACAGCCTCAGCTCTGACGGGGTAAAGTCTCTGGACCTCCTTTGCCTTTTCTTTGCCTTTTAACAGTTTCTGTGCCAAACAATAGGTGGGAAAAATACATAGTTAAAAAAAGTAAGACTGCTTGGACAAATGAACTCTGTCAGTTGTAAACCACTCACCTTGGTCTGTGTTTGCTCTTAGAATGTTTCAAACATACGTTTTATGTAAGCAATTGAAAGTAACTTATTACTGACACTGATTTGTGAGGACTACGTGAAGTGTGTCACATGACAACCTGGCGGTTTATGTGACGTACGGTTTCTTCGGAAGGGGACTGTTCCGCAGGCGTGGGGCAGGGAAGCTGCACCTCTCGGAGCCATTCACTTTCTCCCTGTGGGAACCACATGTCTCGCCTCGTTACCCTGATGACAGTCAAACATCTACGTTATGGAGCTGGAAGGAGACACACCAGATCTTTCCCTCAAGCTCCCTCTTGCTCTTAGAGTAGTTTTAGATTTTCTGCTAAATGCCCTCAATTCTGCCTGCTTTCCCAGTTTCTAAATTTATTTACATACTTTCTGGTGCCATCCTGATCCTGGCTGCAGGTAGATGTGAAAGAGGCTTAAGGGGGAAATATTTATCATGACCTTGTTTTTGTTTTTGTTTTTTTAAACTGAAGTTTAGTCAGTTACAATGTGTCAGTTTCTGGTGTACAGCACAATGTCCCAGTCATGCATATACATATATATTTGTTTTCATATTCTTTTTTATTAAAGGTTATTACAAGATATTGCATATAGTTCTCTATGCTACACAGAAGAAATTTGCTTTTTATCTATTTTTGTATATAGTCGTTAACCTTTGCAAATCTCAAACTCCCAAATTTATCCCTTCCCATCCCCTTTCCCCAGTAACAATAAGATTGTTCACTGTGTCTGCGAGTCTGTTTCTGTTTGTAGATGAGTTCATTAGAGTCCTCTTTTTTCTTTTTCTTTTTTTTAGATTCTACATATGTGTGATATCAAATGGTCTTTTTCTTTCTCTTTCTGGCTTACTTCACTTAGAATAACAGTCTCTAGGTCCATCCATGTTGCTGCAAATGGCATTACTTCATTCTTTTGTATGGCTGAGTAGTATTCCATTGTATAAATATATCACATCTTCTTTAGCTATTCATCTGTCAATGGACATTTAGGTTGTTTCCATGTCTTGGCTACTGTAAATAGTGCTGCTGTGAACACTGAGGTGCATGTATCTTTTCAATTTAGAGTTCCCTCTAGATACATGCCCAGGAGAGGGACTGCTAGATTGTATGGTAAGCATGACCTTGTTTTGAATGCCTCTCGGCCCAGGGTGCATGAGGCCTTGGGAAGCATGGACCTTGTGCCCGATGGTCCTGAGCTCTGCAGAGTCAGGAGATCAGTGCAGAGGGATGAATCATCGTGAAGGCAGATGCCCAATAAGTGGGGGCGGGCAGGCAGCACCAGAGTTCAGGGGAGGAAGTGGAGGGGAAGTCTCATGTGGGAGGTGGGATCCGAGCCATCCTCCAAAGCATGGGTGGGGTCTAAATAAGTACAGGCCAGGAGGGGCTGTCCTCTGTCAAGGCAATGATGTGACCACAATGATGTGGGGAAGGCATTGCAGGGACGGGTTAGACCAGTTGGCTGAGGTCCTGGGTGGGATTACGATTGACTGCATGTAACAGAACATCTTCAAATGGTAGTGGCTTAAGTAAGACAGTTTCTTTCTCTCTCTTTCAAACGAAGTGTGGGAGTAGGCAGTCTGAGGTGGACACGGCAGTTTGACGACATTGTCAGAGACCCAAGCGCTTCCTGGCTCATTGCTTTGCCATCTTTTGGATTTGGTCTTCATCCTCATGGACCAAAAGGCTGATGGAGCTCCAGCCATTTCATCCATGCTTCAAGCAATAGGGCAGAGAAAGGAGAAGGAGAAGAATGCATCCCCCTCCCTTTTAGTGAAATGTCTCCAGTTAGACCACACACAGCAGTTTCTATCTTTTACTGGAAGTTGGTCTCCGAGCCACACCTAGTGACAAGGGAGGCTGAGAATGCAGTCATCTGGCTTCACAGGAAGCATGGCTTCTCAATTCATAGAAATTTAGCGGCAAGCACCTCCCTCCCAGGAAGCCTGGCTTGAGGCACTTCTCTTCAAGGCTCGGACCACCCCTCCATACCCAGTCCTGTTCTTCTAGAGCAGGCCTGCTGTGTCCTGCTGGGCTCCAGAGCAGAGTTTAATTACTTTAGGATTCTCCAAACATGCCATCTCTGCCGTACCCCGGGCTCCCCCCGCATCACCAGGGGCCCGTGCCGGAAACGGTGTGACTTCCCTCTCTTTCTCTCCACCTCCCCGGTCATTAATGAAGCCTTCCTGTGTCGTGATGTCTCTTGAATCCTTATTTCCTTCCAGCTCAGACCTCTCCCCTGAACTTCAGGACCAACGTATCCAGCTACTCACTAGATCGTTCCGCTGCGGTGTCGCAGAGGCAGCCAGTCCCAAACTCATCAGTCTTCGTCCTCCTCCACCAAATCTACCTCTTTGCTGATTTCTAGTGTTTTAGTGAACGCTGCCCACCGTCCAGTGAGTGTAACGCTCAGATTCTGCCCTGATGTGTTTCCTTTTCTCCCTTCTCAGAATCCTCCTAGGTCCCACCGGCCACTTGTCATCCCTACTCCTGCTGCCACACCTGCAGGTACTCATCAGGGCCACTGCAGGAGCCCCCAACCCCTGATCTTTCTCTGTTCCTTGTAACTCCTTTTTCATATTGAATCCAGGGTGATATTTTCAAAATACAGATCTAATCTTATTACTCTTAATTTAAAACCTTTCTGAG